CAAGTAACAATTCTAAAAAATACTACTCAATGTTGGCAAGGGGAAGCAAAAACTAGCAACTTTATGCGTTGTTGGCATTGTAAATTCATATACACGCTTTGAAAAGGAATTTGGTAATGTATCAAGAATATTAAAATATTCATACCCTTTGAACCAGTTAGCCCACACCTGGTAATCTACTCTAAGAAAATAAAAAATATAGGAACAGCACTATGCACAAAAATATTTACCAAAGAGTTAGTTATAAAAGTAGAAAACTGGAAGCAATATAAATATATAATGATGCGGGAAAATAAATCATACCTAGATGAATATTAAATAGTCACTAAAAATGATAAATATAGAAACTGCACAACATGGAAAAGAGCTAATAGTGTAGTGTTATATTGAAAAACTTGTAGCTACATTGTGATTACAGTTAAATAAATAAAACATGCATATGAATGAAACTAGAATATATGCAAAATTGATGATGATGGTAACAGTATGGGTGATTAGTGGTTTTTTTATTTCCAAACTTCCCATAATGTTTGATATGTTTGATTCAACAAGCATTTATTGCATTTCTACTATGTGTCAACCACTGGGCTACGAGAAACAGAAAAGACCTGGTCTCTATCCTTTAAAACTTACATTCTAATATTATTTCTTTAATTTAAAAAAATCTTGCCTCAGTGAATACTAAACAAAAAGAGAGCAAGTCTAGAGGTTATCATGTCAGATGCTACTTTCTCTGTCATGTGGTAGAAGGAGAAAAACCCAGCAGCCCACACCATCAGTGCCTGTCTGACTCCACAGGCTCATGGTTTACCCCAGGCCGCATTACCTGGAGTTCACTGCACCTTGTTGGAGGCTGGTAATTCCTTTATGTGGCCTTTTCCCCTTCCTGACTGGCTAATGCTGCTGTCAGTCAAGCCAAGCTTACCCCACCCCTCACTCTGATGGGCTCCTTCACTTCATTTCCCAAAGACACCCTGCTCAATCACTGTGCTCACCAAACTGGACCTCAGTGATGTGCTTATGTTTTTCCAGTCCGGACGTGAGTAACTCGAGGGCAGAAATTGTATTTTATTCCCTTCTAGCTCCCAAGTGCCTAGCACAGTGCCTGGTATATAACTGGCACTAGCAACAATAGTCACTGAATTCATGAATTAAAATAGCATCACTGCAACACTGTAGGAAGGTGAGCTGCTAGGCTGAGGGCATTTGAAGTTGCATTAAATATGCACACTGTGCTAAGGTCTGCTCAAGGTGAAGGTGGCGTTTTCAGGGGAAGCTGCTAACAGACTGCGTGTTACCTGATCACGGCCTCCACGGCGCAGACCAGCTCCTCTGCGCCACATTCCCGCGTGTTGATGGGGGGAGGGGAGGTCTGGTAGAGGTGGGTCTCCGCGGAGGCCCCCACTTCACTACTGTGATGATTCGAGTGACATCTTTTACAGTACCGAACAGGCCTGTTTCCATGACGGCCGCAGCACCCGGCTGAAAAGCAGGTGACAACTGCTCTTCTAACATGGGAACTGCAATTCTAGAAGAAGAAAAAAATGCAATCAATTAAAATTGACCGCTGAGGTCGACTTAGCTGAGAATCGGAATAAATGGAAACTTGAGGGGCCACCAGAAGTGACAGCACATTCCTGAAGTGCCACTAGTTTCCAAAATGCAAGTTATCCTCTAACAAGTTGGATTTCAGTCACAGGTAAAAATAAGGGTGCGAAGTGTTTTCTATTAGTACAAAGGGTCTAAGGATCAGTGGAACTGTGCCAGCAAGCCCTCAGCCACAGGGGCATGAAAAGGGGGACACTTTCTGGATTACTTTGAGTTAATGTTTTGAGAGTTTCAGCAGAAATATAAAGAAAAGAAAATTAGAGCTGTGGTCCAGAGAGAGAGCACATCACAGCACATCACAGTGGGAAAGGAATAATTTTAACTCCCGGAATAAACTCTCAAAGTGATTTTATCCACCACTCATAAAGCACATTTCCACTGCAGCTCATCTGTCCTTGCTGCATCCAAGGACAGGTAGGCATTGTGCTGTGCCGAGGTGACGGCCTCCAGCAGGGGGTGTGCCAAACACAACGGGAACCATTCACAGAATCCGCTGTCCGCACCAGCTACAGGAAGGGAACAACCAATGAAGCGATGGCAATGAGGAAAGCGGCGCGGCACCAGAGAGGCTCCAGGGTTCAGGGGGGCTATGGTTCAAGCT